GGGGTTCAGGAGTTGCAACCTCGTGTGTGTGTGTGTGCGCGCGCGCGCACCTGGGGTTCAGGAGTTGCAACCTCGTGGGGGGGGGGGCAGGGAGGGGATGACTCCATGTCTCCCTCAAGAGGGACTCAGTTGAGGACAGGGGTAATTTTAATTGCATTCAGTTTCCGATTTTTATAGCCTCCAGTATTCAGACTTCTTGTTCAGATGGGACACAACCTGTCTCAACACTGGCATCCAGCAAAGGGAAGAGAGGGGTGTGCTAGCTTTTACTACCTCCCTCTGCGCCCCTCCAAACCAAACAGGTGAACTTGCACAGTGCTTAGGGATTTATCACTTGGACTCAGACAGGCAGTGGGGGCTAGCGGGGGAGTCAGGGTAGATTTATTGCCGGGGTCCCCTGTATAGAACCTGAACCTGTATCTAACCCATTTCCTGCCCACCCATGATGTTTTTAGCTGCTCTTCTCTTGTTTTTTTTTTTTTTACTTTTATTTTTATTTTATTTTATTTTGATGGTTCCGTTATGGTTTCTCACTATGTCACAACTGCTTTTATTTCCAAACCGGGGAAGAGAGAGAATGGGGGAGGGAAAATATCTGTAAAGCAATATTTTTTCATGTCATATGCCAAAAATTGTAGAGGTTCACCAAACCCCGCTCCTCCCCCCCAATGAAAGTCTCTCACAAACCAGACAAAAATGCAGTGACATTTCCAGGCACTACTTGACTCTTTCTCTATGGCAATATCTTTCATGTGGCCTCCCACAGAGCCACACTTTTATTTTTTATTATGATTAGCCATTTTAAAACAAGGAATAAAAGAGTATCTAATGAGCCACCCCTTCAGGCTTCTGCGCTTGTTTCTTCGTCCCCAGAAGGAGGGAATAGAGGGAGGAGGGGTGTCTACATCAGCTTCTGTGTTTCCTAGCACACCATCCAAAAGAACTGCAACAACTTGTCCTAAGTCCTCAAGTGTCAAAAGGTTAAAATAATTGAAGACAGGGCTCCTCTGCCAAGAGAGGTGTGACCAAGAGCAGATCCTTGCAGTTCATCTTAAGCTATGCTAGCAGGAGGGTGAAAGCCAGCTTGCTGAAATGGCCTGGTGGATAGCATCTTCCTCCATAGTCAGGTCCTTCTACCTGATGGCAGGTGAGCAGTGAGAAGGCAAAGTGACTTTGGGAGCTACCAGCTAGGTAAAGTTCTCAAGTAAAGGGCACCCTGTGAGGGCAGCTAGAGCTGAGATGCTTGGCAAGTAGCTGTGCCTGAGCATCTCGTGGGGTTGAGGGTCTGGGTTTAATGGTAATGATTTAGCCCTCCTCACTTCCCAGCTCTGCTGTGTTTCATCACAGGAATGAAACAAAGCTTTACCCTTCCCCTCCTGGAGGCCCCTTAGTTTAATCACAGCTAGATCTTTAAACATGCCTGGCATATCCACTGAGTTCTCATGCGACCAAATTCATGTGCCTTGGGTTTGGTCCCTGGTAGCAAGACCCTGGGAAGTACCACAAAATTTCTGTGCGGAGAGCCAGGCACATGACCATGTGTGTGCTGGGAAGACTTAGATGCCACCCACAAGCTTTTGTTTTGAAGGCCAAGATCAAAGGCTGCCTGCCTCCAGAGACCTAGTCCCAACCCTCTGGGCCCCTCAGCATTCCAAAAGGCTGTAGATCAATGTCCTTGAAACTTCCTCCCATCAAGCTTGACTAGCTGCAGAGCCACTTCCTCCTGCCAGTGAAACTCCTGAGCCTTAGCCTCTGTCCTAGAGGGCATGTCAACCTGGCTCCTGCTGATGGGTTTAAAAAAAAAAAAGCCTTAGCACTCCTAGTCTTCTGTGGCCTCCAACTCTTGGGAGTTCAAACCAGTCACAGGTGCTGATCTCTTAGTGGAAGGTGTTACAAGGCTTGTGTTAACCTGGTCCTGGCCAGGTTTCTGATTCCTGCCAGAAAGGCAGCACCACAAATGCAAGTTGGGCTCTTTCTGCGATTGCCATGGTACCATGAGCATTCAGAAACCAAATGCCTTTTTTTTTTTTAAGCCAGTTGAAAGCTGTGATAGTAAGAGACACAAACATGCAACCACAATATTTTTATCAGCCAAAGTGACTAGTTGTTTTGGGGGTGCAACCAAAAAAAGGGCCATTTCAGAAAGGCTGAGCATTAGCCCTGCAAAAATCAGGCCCCTTTAAACATGTCTCAGGGTGGACTCCCAAAACCACTAGACCAACATTCTCCAAAGTTACAAGTATTAAAAAGGGAATATTTAATTTCAACACTATAATAGCCTCACTTCTAAACTTTGACTGGCTGTTTTGTTTAATATACATGTATTGCCTTTAATTTTGGAATCTCTGTATTTTCTTCCAAGGGATAATGTTATGGTAAATTGGGGAAATACCAATATATGTATCCATTGGCAATAAAATATTTTGGTAAAGTAGAGGTCTATGGTTTTTTGAGAATATTGTACAAAGGAGGGTTGAAAGGAAAAAAAAATGTATGCCTCTGCTGATCAAAATTATGGAAGTGTAAGAGTTATCTGAAGACAGATAAGTGTGAGTTGATGTATGATCTGTGTTTTCAGAACAGTTTTGTGCAGATGTTTGAAACCTTTGGCCTTGAAGATTTTCTTTGGATCAGTGTTGACAAAATCATGTTGTAGTGATCTTGTAGGCAGTGTAAAATTAAGGTCTAATAATTTTGTTGCTTTTAAACACTTGTACATTTGTCTTTTTTTTTTCAAATTATTGGACAGGCCTGTGTACATTGTCACTTAGCAACTTCAACAGGCTTGGAAACAAAGAGCTTTTCTGACATTTCCAAACTTTTTTCCAAAAAGCATTTCCAATATGCATGAGTGAAGGAAGAATTTGATGTTTATAATTTTAAATGGGTGGAATAATGGATCAATAAATGAAAGTGCTGCTCTGGGAGGAGTTGCTAATGGCTTCTGAGGCTAATGCTTTCTGTACCTGCTGCCATCCAGCTGAGTTACTGTCCACTTGAAATGGGAAAATGCTGAATTGAGGTAGCCATTTCATTGTCAGCTTGAAGACTAGAATTCAGTTCTCCAGCCATTGCCTTTCCACTAAGTTATCATGAAGCACATAGTTCAAAGGGAGTAACCAATAATGGTTTGACTTTTCCTGTTGCTATATGTAACTCTGTCAAGGTGTACTGGCATTGTTAGCCCAAGTACAGAGCCTAAGATGGTACCCAGCAAAGTGGATTTCTGGAGTAGTGTCTTGAACATCTCTGGTGCCATAAACAAAATAATCTTTGAGTTATGACAGTTAAGAGGATGAGCTTTGGATCTAACCACTGAGATCCTAGCCCTCTCTTCCCTGTGCTATCACAAACCAACTGTGAGTGTTAAGCCCTTTTCATTCTTTCTTTACTGTGTCTTGGAAATGGATTCATGCTCATTCCTTGTGGGCCAAAGGGGAACATAACAGTAAGAGATCAGTTGCTTGTGTTCTACTTTCTTTACTTCAGGCAGGGCTGGAGGAGAACTTATCTCGCATGATTTTTCTCTGGCTTCATGGACTCAGAATTCATGTCTAATTTTCATGAAAACTTATTATTTTTTTTTTTTTTAAGTCTTGCTTTTAAACTCTGCCCCTTCCACGAGCCATGGTCAGCCTACTCTGGTCTCCAGTTGGGTTATGTAATGTGACTGGCTTATGGAAGAGATGAATGTGTTAAACACTACAAAAAGGTAAAATAAAGGGTGCTCCATTGACAGCATGTTCTCCTAATCCACTTGGTTGAAAGTTTGGAATGTTTTTTCATTGTCAGGCTTGCCACTCAGAATTTGAAAGCATGAAGTTATTTTCCTTTGGAATTAAAAGGAACCTGTGATTCTTAAGCAGGGTGCCTCAAGATCTCTTTAACGGTACCACCACCTGGCCTCTGCATGAGGAAGTAAATACTCTCTCATTACCCATCTGGCAACCTGCACCTATTCCTACAGCTGTTTCTTGAGAACCGCTGCCACTGCTTCCCTCTCCTGCCCGCACTCCCGGTAGTCCGTGTTGGCTGCCTCCACACTCCCAGCAGCACACTCTGCTGCAGGCAGGTAGGTGGACATAGGGCCAGAGTTGTTTTGCAGCTTGACCTGTCTTCTCCACT